AGTATGTATTCTGCTGTGATTTTGCCATTTGTTAGGTTTCTGTTCTTTACCTGCCTGCTCCCACTTCTGTGTTCCCTCTGTCTGTCCTCGGTGTTATTGTGTCTACTTATGAGTCCGCCTGTCAAGTTCAGTGCCCTGTCTGGTTCTCTGTCTGTTAGTTTCCTGTTTTATTCTGAAAGTTCATGTTTCATGTCAGTGTGTTCAGTTTTACCTCTCCCCTGTCTCGTTAGCCTAATTTCTCCCAGCTGTGTCTCCCTCCTGTGGCCCATTCCCTGATTACTCCCCGTGTATTTAAGCCCTGTGTTTTCCTGTGCTCTCTGTTGCGTCGTCTGTTTAACGCCTTGTCCGTCTGCATAATTCTGTGTAACCTGGTGTTCAGTCTGCGTCTCTCCGCCATCTGTCTTTGTGCATTTTGTTCCTCCTCCCGTGCGTGTTTGGTAGTGATGGGCAGATGAAGCTTCATGAAGCACTGAAGCTTTTCATCCAATTGGTTCACGCCAGTGCAAAGCTTCTTGAAGCTTCATTTGCTCTATTAGGACACCTACTGGACGTAAAAATATTAGTTGGCATGAATTTGAAGAGTGTGGCCTTTTGCACGCAGCTTGTAAATGTCAACAACAAAAGGAGTGTGTAAAACATCTATATTGTATTGATGGCAGTATACTGTGTATATTTATACTGGCAGTATGGAAAATGATCATTAGGAAATGCTTAAAATGGAAATGATCATTTACTGTGAGGTGAGGTGTGGTTGGGGTGTGGACAGTGGTTGTGCTTTTGTAACGTTGAGGTATGGACAGCTACACACTGAGGCTTTGAGCCTCAGTCCTGCCCACATTTTATTCTGTAAAAACTAAATTTTCACTGCTTTTATGACCTTTTAGTGGGGAGAACATAGCTAGGATTTAATGATTTCACAAATCTTTTGAATCCTTTGTCCTCCACAATGCTAAATGGCTGGGAGTCCTCAATCACCATGCTAACCAGGTCTTCATCTATTTGAGATTGTTCTCCTGAGGAAAGACAATAAAGACAAAGCACAAATATAAATATCACACACGGAACGTATTACAGTTGTATAATATTGTTATATCATTTAGTAATATTACTGCATGCTATATTATCATTGCATTTGATGGCTCACCTGGTCTTGCTCCACAATCGGTGTTCCCCTTATTCTCATGCAAAGCTCTGTAGTGCCTAAGCATGGATGAGGTGTTGTTGTTATATCCCAGCTCCCTGGCACATAGCAAACACTTCACCTTGTACAAAAGTAAAGCCGCTTAACATAAATTGTAGAAATTTACTTACCTTGTTGGGAGGAATAAAATCAAAATGTTCCCACACAGGGGAGGACATCCTCCGCTTCTTAGCTGGCTCCCGCAGCAGAGTGCGGCAGGATATATATTTCACTACGATGACCTGGATGATTGAGAACCTTCACAGACAGATATATATTTTAGTTCTGCTGAGCCAAATAAGACAGGTCAGGGTGAAGAAGTGACAGCCAAAGAAAAGCTTACCACAAAACGGAGAAGTTATGACAAATCAGACTATAAGGCAAAAAGAAAGTGCAGCATAAAGCTGCGGGAGATTTCACTTGTCATGTTTGCATAGTAAGCTAACGATTAATAAGACGATGTCAGAGGAATTGGTGCACAAATTATCATCACTCACAGATCAGTGCTGTCGCTCTCTATACACAGTTCGCGCGATTGCAAAGTGAAAGCAAAAAAACAAGCGCAAATCCAAACACGATTTCAATATGTCACATATTGACAGTGGCTCACCCAATGACATAATTACCCAGCTACATTTCTGAAAGAATGCAAAAGCATTGACATATATTTTTCCTTCCTACAATAGCCCGACAGGCAGGGAAGAGATAGATTTTGGTAGCCCGACTGAAAAAAATCGCTAGCCCCGGGCTAGCGATATTGCGAGCCCTGTATCTGATTGAGGAATCACTCATCTTTGGAAAAGAGAGTTTATTACAGAGAAATGTCTCTTTCCAAAATAAAAGCTATACTATCCGCTTCTTCTGGGCTATATTCTCAGCAGCATATTAAACATATCAGGTCTCCATAAGGAGAATCCTGTGCTAACAGCTGTCTAAATGACTCGGCTAAAGTTTGTAGCATGCATGCTTGTTGTTTTTGTCTTTGCACTAGGATGATGTCGGTGTAAATGTGCAGTCATATTCGTTGTGTTCCCACTAGTGCTGTCAGCGTTAATCTCGTTGAAATAACCTTAACGCCACAACACGGCAAATCTCCGTTAACGAGCTACCCTATACAGAGGGGCTAGACGGCCAACACGTTAACGAGCTAACTGCGCTAACACACTAGCTCCCACCCATGTAATTGAGCATTGCATGGCACATCCAACATACTGTTTTACTTTAGTCCATGACTCGCTTACCTTCAGGGTCATACGTCACATGAAAACCAAAATAATTCCAAACGCCAGATCTGAATGAGGGTGGGGAGGTCCACTTCTGTCTCGCTAGCTTGCCCTGCGCTCTTCCTTCTGACCATGGCTGTGTTGAGTGCTCAGTGAATCTGCGTTCGACTACTCCGCCTAGGCTGCACTCTCGAGCCTAGGCGGAGTAGTCAAATGCAGATTCACTGAGCGCTCAACACAGACAGCATCGTCAGAAGGAAAGTTGATAAAATAAATTACAAATTTTGTATTCTTTTTTTTTCTCCCCTTTGGTTTTCTTTCTTTCTCTCCCCCTCTTTCTTTCATTCTTTCCCCCTGTCCTATCCCACAGTCATGTCTGTCCCGTTTGCAACTGAAAATAAAATAAATTCATAATTATAATAAAGGTCAATCAAATGGACCAATATGATGATCCACTTAAAATAAATCCTCTTGGCATCTTTCTTGGCCTCAAGACAACAATTCTGATGGCTATAGATCCAAACGGGAAAAAAAAAAAAAAAAAAAAAATTTAAAAAAAATTTAAATTTTTTTTTTTTAAAAATTGTATTGTTCGATACATATGCGTACCGAACCGAAAGCACTGTATCGAACGGTTCAATATCGATACGAATATCGTTGCACCCCTAATATATATATATATAAACATTCTTTTTTTTTTAACAAGAAACACATTCTAGTAAGGAAGAGGAGACATTTTGGAAACATCAGAAAGTATTCTTTATTCGCATGGTACTACTCACTCAGCAGGAGTGATGATTTTAATTAACAAATTTGCAGGGAAGGTTATTGATCATAAAAGCGATGGAATGGGACATTGGATCATGGTGTTGATAGAAGTCTGTGAACAGAAAATTATTCTTATCAACGTGAATGGATACAATAACAGGTCTCTAAATAGAAACATGATGTCAAACTTAAGTAAATTAATTGCAAACTGGAGTAATGAGGATGGCTAGTTCTACCCAGGTAATAACTGGAGGCAATTTTAACCTGGCACCAACAACCTGGGCTCGAACTGGCAATCTTGCGATTACAAGACGAACTGCCAACTCTTGAGCCACAATCGCCCATATGAGTAGTACAAGCCAGATTGTTTTATTTAGCAAAACTGATTAATAGTTAAATATTATTGTTGAGGGGCACAGACAGGACTCTGCACGCACACACATTTAAAAAAATTGCGTCAACAAAAGGGCACTTTGGGCACCTACCAGGAAAGGGACAGGTGTTCAAGCCCCCCGTTTGCATGTGTCAAAGTATATTTTAAATATTTATTCAATTCTTTTCCAAACCCCAGCAGCTTTCTGTTCTAAGTTTTGAGTCTCTACTAAAATAAAAATAAAAGCACTCTAAGTTCTTTGTTTTTTATTCAATAAGCAGCAAAGCTATATACTATTTTTGTGAACTGTGACTTTCCCCTGTTAACCTTTGATCACCCCCTCACCTGTATGTATCACCCACAGGTGTCTTATCAGTTTGCATTTGCCTTTCCTCACTGTTTTTAGTCAAAAACTTAACCAGCCTAAATATTTGGACTGTTTTTGTTGTAACCTACAAAAATCCCTTTTGCCCAGAATGCAATACCACCAAAAGGTAAGGTGTCTATCCTGTGCTGGCACTTTTAAATTTAAGCCAGAGATCAAAAGCCCTGCCTCCTGTGATAACTTGGCTATAGTACATGTCAGTCTGTCATAAATTCTGCTGTAATCTTGCTCATCTTTTTTCACCTCATTATATGACTCTATCTCAGTTATAAACCCCAGTGTGGTTCATTATGGTTTCATCCTGTGCAGATAGTAGGCTACATATGAACTAAAAATGTTAATGATGATGCTCATGATACTCCCCTGTGCCAGTGAAAACTCGATTTGATGTCTTTTGTTGTCTTTTCTTTGGCTACACTGCAAAGAAGGTTAGTGATCCAGTTTGATGGAGTTGGAATAACAGCTCCCTCTGGTGTCTGTAGCATGAATAAATTCAGCAATCACTCATTTTGAGGCATGTACTCCACTCTGAGAAGAAAGCGTTTAATGTAGTTTTCTTTGACAAATATTATATGTTAACTTCTCTATGCTCTACTCTGCCGATGACCTTACATCAGCAAGGTGCTTTTAAGCCCCTCCCCGACCCTCTGTGACTGTAGTTTGGTAAGATGCTAAGATCTTCCGTGCACAAATAGATGTTATATCTGCACTTATAATCAAAAAAGACCTGCACTCCCTCCCTTCTGGCCCACTGTACAGCACTGTAAAAAGTGAAGGAGGGCATGCATTTTGGACTTTTAACTGTATTTTCATTAGTTTTACGCTATTTATAGACATTTAAAATGACACCTGTTTTTCACTATCTATTATTGAAATACAACTTTGTTTTATAATTGCAAGACAGCCTGGGAAATAAGCCACCAGAATTCTTTCTTTAGTTTTTACATTTAATTCTTACAATAAAGATTTGTGATATTATATTATATTATATTATATTATATTATATTATATTATATTATATTATATTATATTTGACCTTGTTGTTTTACACCGGAAGTATTACATACGTTACCAGCGCGTTGTAACTTCCGGTGTGCCATAATACCGCTGCGCATATTTCAGGTTTGTTTGACCATTTCATTCGCTCGGTCAATAATTTTAAAGTTAACTGCATTTATGCTTTCAGTTTTAGATATGCACACGCCTATATGTGTGTAATTGATTAACATTATTGGCAATATGAGTAGTTTCTTTCAACACCATCTTATTAGCTGTTGAAGTTGTTTAGCAGTGATTCCCCATGTTAGCTTTCGCTAACTAACGTTTAGTAGCTAGCTTGTTAGCATCCACCGCTTTAGTCAGCCGATTTAGCAAGAAGTCGCTTTTCGACTGTTGCTCTATGTATATATAAACTTAATATTGGGTATTTTATTTTTGGTGGCGACCTGTACGTGTCTAACTACACTTGGTTGGCGTCTCTGATATATGAAAGTGGTAAAAATGACTGACGGCTGAGCAACACTTGAACTCTCCGACACACTGCACGAGGGCATTAAACAGCGTGTACACAGTGTATGTTATGTCCACCGGCTAAAATTGGAAATCCGCAAGTCTTTCATTGTCTTCCGTTACTTTATTTAATTATTTCAAAAGCCGTAATCTGTTTTTTATTAGTAGTTGTCCAAAGCAAAGACGGGGGTGGGATTCTGAAGCGTTGATCCTAATTCAGTTGAATGGTAAATTAAATCAGTAATTAACAAATGGTAAGCCCCTTTCTCTGATTCAAACAAAGCTAAGCTAAGGAGACAGTACTGAACCCTCTGTGTGTTTGTGTTGCAAAGCAGGCGGTGGAGAGCAGACGCCGATGGGGGACGAAAAAGACACCTGGAAAGTTAAAACTCTTGATGAAATCTTACTAGAGAAGAAACGCAGAAAAGAATTACAAGAGAAAACTGATCCGAAACGCCAGAAAAATGTAAAGTATCTAAAAGCTAATATACACTCTATGTTACACATGCATGCTGACACAGAATGCAACAAACAGATTTGTGAATTAATGTCTTAGGTCTCAGTTATTGTCATGTTAGCATTTTTATCTTAAAACCCAGATGTTAATTTAGGATTGGAATATAGAATTTATTAAGAAACATAGCCTAATTAATTTTGTCTAAACATTAGTGAAGTTGCTAAATACAAAAATGTTGTGGTCTTTTTTTGTATGTTAGCCCTCTTGTACTCACTGTCTTCTTGTAGGCTTTAACCCCAAATTCTGGATTTCTTGTCTTGGCCAGTTCTCAAAGGGCCTTGCTTCACAGGCGGATGATCGGGAAGCCAAACGAGACACTCCGGAGGAAGGAGAACTTCGGGATCAAAGAATGGAAATAACAATTCGTAACTCGCCATATGCACGTCAAGACTCAATGGAGGACAGGTACTTGGAAGTTGGGGGAAATTATGAGTGGGTAAACTGATCCATGACTTTTTCTTCTTTTTTTTAAATGTGGAAATTAGTATACAGTGGGGCAAAAAAGTATTTAGTCAGCCACCGATTGTGCAAGTTCCCCCACTTAAAATGATGACAGGGGTCAGTAATTTGCACCAGAGGTACACTTCAACTGTGAGAGACAGAATGTGAAAAAAAAATCCATGAATCCACATGGTAGGATTTGTAAAGAATTTATT